AAAATATTATAAAAAATGTATGCAAAATAACCGATTGTTAAGCTGTTTAGTACTTTAACACTGAAACGTAAACCCGCACAAAATATGGAAGAAATAAAAATGAATACATCTCAGCAAAATAATGTTGCCCTACTAGATTCATAGAAAAGCAATATTTTCTAATGTACAAATTAAAACAATTATATTTTCTGACACATTTCATTGTTACGTCTGGATAGTTTTTAATGTAGACCTTTCAGGCACTGCAGATGTGAAATTATATTACATGTGTACAGATTGAACATTATGTTTCAATTATGTTATAGAGTTATTCAATTGTTGGTAACAGCAACAAAAACAATATATCTGATAATTTAAATCACGATGCTGGCAAACGTTTTGTGCAAACTATGTAAAAGATCGGAGGCTTCAAAGCAAAACACATTTTCCTTTTCCTAGTTATTTATATTTAAGTGTAGTACTATATTCAACTAGAATGAGATTATCAAGAAACAATTTGTGAAACGAAATCGGCATAAGCGAGGAAGGTAAAACTACTGTCATATCGTCCTAATGCCATTTTACTCCCGTCTTAAAATATTATAAATAATGTATGCAAAATAACCGATTTTTAAGCTGTTTAGTACCTTTACACTGAAACGTAAACCCGCACAAAATATGGAAGAAATAAAAATGAATACATCTCAGCAAAATAATGTTGCCCTACTAGATTCATAGAAAAGCAATATTTTCTAATGTACAAATTAAAACAATTATATTTTCTGACACATTTCATTGCTACGTCTGTATAGTTTTTAATGTAGACCTTTCAGGCAATGCAGATGTGAAATTATATTACATGTGTACAGATTGAAAATTATGTTTCAATTATGTTATAGAGTTATTTAATTGTAAGTAACAGCGACAAAAACAATATATCTGATAATTTAAATCACGATGTTGGCAAACGTTTTGTGCAAAATATGGAAAACATCGGATGCTTCAAAGCAAAACACATTTTCCTTTTCCTAGTTATTTATATTTAAGTGTAGTACTATATTCAACTAGAATCAGATTCTCAAGAATCAATTTGTGAAACCAAATCAACATAAGCGAGAAAGGTAACAGTACTGTCATATCGGCATAATGACCTTTCACCCCTGTCTTAAAATATTATAAAAAATGTCTGCAAAATAACCGATTTTTAAGCTGTTTAGTACTTTAACACTGAAACATTAACCCGCACAAAATATGGAAGAAATAAATATGAATACATCTCAGCAAAATAAGGTTGCCCTACTAGATTCATGGAAAAAACAATATTTTCTAAGGTACAAATTAATACAATTATATTTTCTGACACATTTCATTGTTACGTCTGTATAGTTATTAATGTAGACTTTTCAGGCACCGCAGATCTGAAATTATATCACATGTGTATCAGATTGAACATTATGTTTCCATTATGTTATAGTGTTACTCAATTGATGGTAACAGCGACAAAAACAATATATCAAATAATTTAAATCACGATGCTGGAAAACGTTTTGTGCAAACTATGGAATAGATCGGAGGTATCAAAGCAGAACACATTTTTTCCCTAGATATTTATATTTAAGTGTAGTACTATATTCAGCTAGAATTAGATTCTCAAGAAACAATTTGTGAAACGAAATCGGCATAAGCGAGGAAGGTAAAACAACTGTCATATCGGCCGAATGCCATTTTACTCCCGTGTTAAAATATTATAAATAATGTATGCAAAATAACCGATTGTTAAGCTGTTTAGTACTTTTACACTGAAACGTAAACCCGCACAAAATATGTTCAAAATAAATATGAATACATCTCAGCAAAATAATGTTGCCCAACTAGATTCATAGAAAAACAATATTTTCTAATGTACAAATTAAAACAATTATATTTTCTTACACATTTCATTGTTACGTATGTATAGTAATCGGATATATGTCCAACTTAATTAACGTAAATCAATATAATTCGTAGTTTGAACGTTTTGTTTCACAATGGATACGATATGAATAATTTTGATTTTGAAAACAAACAACTATTATAAATAGAGTAGAAACATAAGTTAATGGTGTGGGTAATAACAAAAATCGAAGCATACTCAAATATAACACTTCCATATATCCGATGG